ATAAAAAAATATATTTATTACGTTATTAACATTAACTACAACAAATCGAAAGCAAAAAATGGGGTTTTTCTTTTTTTATTCTTTTTCTAGGCTTTACATTTTCCCAAAATTTTCAACGCGCACCGGAAATTACAGTTCTAGTTCATACTCTGAATCGAAACACCCAGAAGCTAGCAAATGTCTACTGCGACTGCTAGGGTTTTCAGAGGCTGTAGGGCGCTGTGTGCGCCGGCATCTGCTGCCAGGTCCTCTTCTGCTGCCACAAAATCGCCGCCGAAATCGAGCCAGAAGCCCAAGACAGCAAGTCCCCGGAAGCCTAAACCAGCCTCTCGAACCATGGTAAGACCCACTGGCATCCTCAAGGTCGCTCCTGTTTCCCCTGCTTTGGGCGAGTTTCTTGGAGCCAATGAAGCCTCCCGTACAGACGCCGTCAAGCAGATCTGGTCCTACGTCAAGACCCAAAACCTCCAGGTATCCAACCCCCACTCTCCATCTCAATTTGTGCTGTGTTTAGTGTTTCTGCATTTCGTTTGTTAAACCCTGAGATTAGAGTTTTTCTACATACTTGTTTCATGCCTCCTTTTTTACTTGGGGTTCCATAGTTATTTGATACTGCGTTGGGTTTGTTGAAAACCTCAAAAATGTGGGAGATTTTTTTGTGGTTTCTTGTTTGATTGTTCTCCTTATTGGATTATACTGTTTGGGGTCCCCTTTCAATCTGTCGTGTTCTTCAATGTCAATTGCACGAGAGTTAAATAAAGGGGAATCCTGATCATAACATAGTTTATAATTAGAATTGCATTACTCATTTCTTAGAAGAAAATGGAACTTAACTTGGGCTAGAGATGAGATGAAAAATGCATTATTGGTATTTTTTTATCGAATGTGGTGGTAAGTAAGGACGGTGAAGGGAGGGCAAGCAGCCAACTCTTTTGAGAACTTTTTGATTTTGAGGCTTAAGTTTTCGACATACTCCTAGGATTTTTTGTTTGAATTAAGGAGAAAAAATTGAAAGAATCAAAATGGTGGGAAATTGGTCAAGAGTTTGTTGATCGTAGAGTAGGGGTGGTGTGATAATAGACAAATAAGAGGGTCGGTTTCTATTATTGTAGATCAAATTAAACTCAATAGACTGAAAGATGTGTAAAGATGGCTAGGTGTTCTTTCACTAGTGTTGAATTGGTTTTCATAAGTTTTTCTAGAACTAAAAGAAAAGGCAGTGTGAAATTACATTGTCTAAAATCTTTCCGGTGGATGGGAAATTAAACTTATTGTTTTTTTCCCTGTTTAACGACACCATTCTTCCTTAAACTCTTAAAAAATGTTCTAATTGGTCCTTTATCCTTTTTTATGCAATAACTATAGAATAGCCATTTCACTGTACTAAACGTGATCAAAAGGTTGTGGACCAGCCATGCAACTTATAGGATAATTTTACTTTGCTTTATTCCTTCCATTAACTTTTCATCAACGGATTTGTTGATGTGGATTGACATATGCCATTAAGGGCTCTGAACAAAGCTTTGATTTTTGTTATTGGAGAGATTTAATTGACCCTTTATTTTATGATTTATGGACAATTCATTTGAGCTCTTTTTTGAACTTTATTTAAAACCTAAGTAAAAAGAAACCTATGTGCTGCTAGATATTTCCCTTTTCTTTTGTATTTCTCTGACAGTTTGAAAATTGAAGAAGAGAGATCATGTTGACTGGAAAAGTTGTGAATATGAGACAATAACAATAAATAGTATTCTAGGGAATCTAGACAGCAAAATCGTGTGCTTTGTGTCATGTGCTCTGAAGAAACATTATTGATTGATGACAACTCAGGACAATACTCTGCTTCATTGGCTAGAGCTCAACTTGATTATGATTTTCATGTCTTCTGCCATTCATTTTAATGGTAATTAGTGTCAACAGGGTCTAAATGTAACAATCTATTTTAGTTAGCAATCCAATCTCAAAAATTTTGAGGTCGATGGCCTTATTGAACAGCTCTTCAAATGTTATGGACTATCCATACAGTTTACCTTTCACGAATTTTAAGTCGAAAGGATTTTAATTTACCCTTCCATGTCATCATACTTTTGCACTAGAATTTTCATTTCATATTTCCACTTTAAGTTAAATTTATGGGAAGAGCTTGTTTGACAATATTTAACATAAGAATTTGAAATGAACTCTGGATTTAGAGTTTGTTTAAGGATCAATGACCATGGGGTGCTAATGTGAGAATTCTACTCTTAATTTTCATTCAGATCAAAGTTTGATTTGGTTTGAAATGATGTGTATCACGAAGAAAATTTTTGTGACGCATTAATGTGTACTGAATCACATAGATGTGTTTGCATGCAGAACCCAAATGACAAGAGGGAGATCTTTTGTGATCAGAAGCTTAAGGCTCTTTTTGGTGGAAAGGAGAAGGTTGGTTTCTTGGAGATTGGAAAGTTGCTAACCCAGCATTTTGTAAAGACGAATTGACTTCTCGATTTCCAGGATCTGTCTACTACTGCTGCCCCACCTCTATTCAAAATGCTCTTCTAACTTCCATCAATCTTGAAGTTGAACCCAAAATGTATCCCACTGAATTGCTTTCGTTTTAAGAGCATAACTCTTAGGTTTGGGTTTGTAACTAAATAGGTTTCTAGTAGGACATGGTGTAAAAATTTGGTAGGAAGTTCAGATGATTAGCCTTATTATCTGCTTTGTGATTTGGATTTTAACTTTGTGAGAACCGTGTTACTTTGACTGACTATAATGGGTCTTCATGGGGAAGCAGGTGTTCTTGAAATGGAGAGTTTATTAAATCATGAATTATAATAGGTACACTGATCTACTGCAGTGCTGCTAGGTGCCTGCAGTAATGATGTTAAATTGCAACAGAAAAGTTTGTCCGGACCAGCCAAAGACAACCACATGTGACTGTGGCCTTATATTTGCATTTTAGGGCTCCACATCTACATCTAAAGATGTGGTAGTTAGGATTGATATACTTTTTTTCCAGTCCAGACTAAATCCAAAGACCAAAACCTCCAATAGCAAATGTTATGAAATTTGAAATATCTTATGGTATTGCAATTTATGTGATGCGGAGAGTATTTAGTTTTTTTTTTTTTTTTTTTTTTATACCATGACTTTTTTTTATTGAATATAACTTTTTTCTTTGTTTGTATTTTTATATTATTATAATCACCGCCCTTGGACTGTAGATTCGACTAGTAAAGTGCTTTTTCTTTGTCTTCATCATGGCTGCTCGACGCGTGGGACCACTATTAGGACTTAACCTATAGCTGCTCCTTCTCCGTCCCTTCCTCCACTCTTAAAGTGAAGTTATGAACCTTCTTGGAAATTTCGGCAACCCTTCTCTTCAATTTCCTCTAAAGCAGAGCTCACTCTGTGACTCTGTCTATATACTCTTATATATCGGTAATTTCTTCACTCTTTCTCATAGCTCCTCTTCCTCTCTTCTTCAAACAATTATACTTACCCATATATTTAACAGAAATTTTGCAGGTCCCATGGAAGTTGTATCTCTTGTTGTAGCTCCTCTGCTATCTGCGGGGTTTAAGTCACTTCTTGACAAGTTAAACTCTTGTGAACTGCTCAACTTCGAAAAGAAAGTAGTTGCTGACCTGCAAAACTGGAGAAATCTTTTGCCCAAAATCATTGCTCTTCTTGAAGATGCGGAGGAGAAGAAAGTAATTGACCGTCTTCAGAAGTTATGGCTAGCTGATCTCAAGGGCTTGGCTGATGATATGAGGGTTGTCATTGGTAAATTTGAGGTTGTTAATACCAAGAACAGTGATTCGATTGCAAAACATAAGGCCAACTCAAGGCAGTTACGGAAACTCGTCTCCTCATGGTTTAAGAGGTCAAGATTCAGGTTTGATCGAGAGACAGCTTCCAAGGTAAAGGATATCAACGTCAGACTGCAGAATTTTAAGATGGGGACAATAACGTTGGGGACAATCAGTTTTGGCGTCGAAGATGGAGAAAGACCAAACAAGGTAGGTTTGAGAAGATCGCAAACTTCTTCTCTGCTTGAATCTTATGTCTATGGTAGGGAGAGAGATAAAGAGGCTGTTCTTCAGATGCTGCTCAATGATGAAGGCAATGGTGATGGAGACTCTGTTATTCCTATTGTGGGGGGAGGAGGAGTGGGAAAGACCACTCTGGCTCGACTTGTTTACAATGATGAAAAACTGAGAGAGGGTGGGTTTCAATTGAAAGCGTGGGTTTGTGTTTCTGATGATTTTGATCCTCTCTTGATAACAAAAACCATCCTACAACAAGTGACCCAAGAAAATTGTGATTTGCAAGATCTTAATATGCTTCAAGAGAGATTGAAAAGGAAGTTATCTGGACAGAAGTTTCTTCTTGTGTTGGATGACGTACGGAATTTGAATTACTGCCACTGGGATATGCTACAGATACTTTTCAAATCAGGAGCACCTGGAAGTAAAATAATTGTCACAATCCGAGATAAGGATGTCGCCAAAACCCTGAAAGGAAATGAAAATTTTCACAACATAGAATTGCTACCGGAGGATGCTTGTTTGTCGATGCTTGCCCGACATGCATTAGGAGCAGAGAATTTTGATGCGCATCCAGATCTGAAGGGGATCGGTGAGGAAATCGTTAAAAAGTGTGAACGATTGCCATTTAGCGTAAAAATCATTGGCGGTAAGTTGCGTGGTAAATCTTCTGAGGAGTGGGAAAATGTATTAAGCAGTCAGATATGGGATCTTCCTGAAGACGAGGGTGGCATTCTTCCTGCTCGGAATTGAGCGAACGACTTTCTCCCTACTTTATTTAGGAAAAAGGTCCTTTTAAAGTTGTAATTATATTGTGCAAATATTGAGTGTAGTTAAGAGTCTAGAATGTCTTTTGGCAGCTGGTCTAGAAAGTTAATCGACAATAAAAATGTGTATTCCTAATTTTAGGTGTAAGGTTCAAAAGGAAGAAGAAGAAGAGTAGTGCTGTGCTTCTACATGAGCTTGCGTGTAAAAGATGTTTCAGTCCGTGTGAATAATTGTCAAGAGTACTGCTACCACTAAATGATAAATTGCTATCTCTAATGTAAAATGGCCACGCGGATTCCTCTAAATAATGATGTATGTGGGGACTTTTGGTTTGCAAAAATATATGTCAATGTTAATTTGAGCTAGTGTTCTTAATATTTTTGTTGTCAAAAATAAAATATTAATTGTTTAATAAGAGAAAAATCTTTTAATATTAAGTATTTTTTT